TGGGAGGGGAAGAACTAATAACAATGACAACAACAACAACTACAACTACAACAATGATTAGGATTTATACAGAACTTTAAGGGATGCAAAGCACTTTACAGCCATTATATCATTTAATCCTCACAACAACCGTGGGAGGTAGGTGCTATTATTACCCCCATTTTACAGATGAGGAAACTGAGGCAAGAAGTTAAATAACCTGACCAGGGGCAGCTGGGTGGTGTAGTAGATAGAGCGCTGGGCCTAGAGTCAGGAAGACCTGAGTTCAAATCCAGCCTCAGACACTGTATGATGCCAACCGATTCACTTAGCCTTTGTCTGCCTCAGTTTCCTCAAGTGTAAAATTGGAATAATAATAGCACTTACTTTCCAAGGTATTTGTGAAGATCCAATGAGATAATATTTGGTGCCTGGCACATAGCAGGCACTTAATAAATGCTCATTTCCTTCCTTTTTAGGTTCACACAGCTAAAAAAGGTCTGAAGTCAGATTTGAACTCAGGCCTTCCTGACCTCAGGTCTAGCACTCTATCTACTTCATCACTTAACTGTCTTGCCACCTGGCTGCCTCCAGCTAAGTATGCTTATCAAATTTTTAGATAACCTTGGATGACAGAGTCAGTCTTTGAAAAGATCCTGACAGGCTCAAAGGGTGAGTCAAATCCATGAGAATGAAATTTAAAACCATTGTCACAAATATAAAATCAGAGCATTAGGTCTAGGTATCCATTCAACTGGAAAAGGCTTTAGCATACTACATACTTCACAAGAGCCAAGCATGTGAGACATGAGAAGCCCAAAGCTAATGAGACTTTAGGTCTCATTAAGAACCACAGTGTCCAGTGATATGTCCTCAGCACGGGGAAGACTCCGTCTGGAGTCTGGGGCTCAGTTCTGGGCACCACACTGGAGGGAGGAGGATTTTGATATGCTAGATTCCAAGTCCAAAGCTCTCTTCACTCCCATGCCTAGAACATCCTACATTCAGCCAGTGCTACTAGCCCTTCCTTCTTCCTCTTCTGTCTAGCATGAGATGCTGCAACAATGGGAATTTTCACAATGTTACTAATTACAGGTACCCTCCACCTGATGCAAACCCAACACAGTAAGCTCTGGTTTACTATGTCCTGAATGCCCACAATTGAATAGATGGTGCAAATAAGCAGAATTTTTTTTTTTTACAATCCTGAACAGTAATCACTGACATTAAAAAAGGGGCCCAGAGGCCAAGCAAGGTCTGAGTCATCAAAGAAAGATTCCATTTTGTCTAGTAAAGTTGTGTTAAGTATATTTGACCAACTCCTCAGTTTTTGAAAACTGGCCATGTATGAGAGAGACCTTTTTCTGCATGTATCAATCTGGTTGTATCATTCCTCTGCTCAGTCTGGTGCTATGTCAAGGAGCCAGGGCTGGGTTCAAATCCTGGTTGGCCTGGAGACAGGCACCTAATCTCCCTGGCCCTAGTTTACCCATTGGTAAAATAAAGGGGCTGGATAAAGTGACCTCTAAGTTACCTACCAGCTCAAAATCTGTGATCCAACCCCAAACTTTTGAATGATTCCTTATTCCCTACTACGTCAGCTAGGTGGCACTGCAGTGGATAGTACTGGCCTTGGAGTCAGGAAGACTCATCTTCCTGTGTTCAAATCTGGCCTCAGACACTTCCTAGCTATGTGATCCTGGACAGGTCACTTCACCCTGTTTGCCTCAGTTTCCTCATCTGTAAAATAAGCTAGAGAAGGAAATAGCAAACCATTCCAATATCTTTGCCAAGAAAACCCCAAATAGGGTCACGGAGAGTCAGACACAACTGAAAACAACTGAATGACAACAAATTTCCTACTATATAAAGTCCAAACTCCTTAACCTGGCATTCAAAGCTTTCTACAATTGGTTTCACTTTATCTTTTCCCCCTTTTCTGACTCTACTTCTTTGATAGCCTAGGTTCAAGCCAAATCTGATTTGATACCCCCCCAATACCCTTCGCTTTCTCACCTCAGTGTCTTTCCTCCACACTATGTCCTATGTTTGGAATGTCCTCTACTCCTCTCATCCTCTGTTCAATTCAAACTTGTCCTATGACCCAATTCAAACGCCCATGAAAGGGACTGTTTCTTCTTGCTTTAGATCTCCAGAACCTTGCATATAGCAAGCATTTAATAAATTCCTCCTAGTCAGAAATGTCCTCTGGAACATACCTCCATTCCCAAATCCTGCAAAGCACTTTGTGCTAGTACCTCTCTTATTCACTTATGCATAATTGTATAGTCGAGGTATCTGTACATGTGGCATATCCCATCACTAGACTGTAAGTTCCGTGAGGTCAGCGAACTCTTATCTAATATTTGTAACTTCCCCCAGCCCTGGGCACAGAGTTCTGCACACATCACATACTCAAATGATGTTTGTTAAATTGAACAGATACAACAAGCAATAACCATAATGAATTTTAGTGCCAGTTAAGGGAAAGAGGTGGTAGAAAAGAGGTAGAGATGTAAAGCTATAACAATATTAATACATACTAAGACTGCTCTTTTTGGGAGTGGAGGTGGTGGAATTCAGCTCTTGAGATTGAAAACCTTAGTAAATACCACTAGAACACCATTAACCATTTTAATATCTACCTAAAGTTTAGAACAAAAAAGTTCCTAAAATTTTCTATTTCTTGGAGTTTCAAGAGGGGAAAATCCTTAAATTTCTTTTTAGAAAAATGGGGAGGGGCAGCTAGGTGGCGCAGTGAATAGAGCTCTGGCCTTGGAGTCGGGGGACCTGAGTTCAAATCTGACTCAGACACTTGACACTTACTAGCTGTGTGACCCCGGGCAAGTCACTTAACTTTGATTGCCTCACCAAAAAGCAAAAGAAAAAAAAAGAAAAATGAGGAGCATCTTATTTTACAGAGAAAAAGTTCCATGGGGGTGAGGGGAGGTGTATTATCACCTTGTGGCCCTCTAGAATATTACTATTAAAGAATTTTGAAGAAATGTTGCATTTTCACAACTCTAGGAATGCAATCATGTATATATCATTGTTTAGTCATTTTTCAGTTGTGTCTGACTCCATTAGCTACATATATGCATGTATATACATATATATATATATGTTTAAAATGTCTGTTGCCAATTATATATACGTAATGCCTGTTGTCAAGTTTATATACATACACCCACATATATTTGTTGTTGTTGTTCAGTTGCGTCCAACTCTCCATGACTCAATTTGGGGTTCTCTTGGCAAAGATACTGGAGTGGTTTGCTACTTCCTTCTCCAGCTCATTTTACAGATGAGGAAACTGAGGCAAACAGGGTTAAGTGACTTGCTGAGAGTTACATAGCTAGTGTCTGAGGTCAAATTTGAACTCAGGTCTTCCTGACTCTATCCACTGTGCCACTTAGCTGTCTATATAGTGGATCCATATATATAATATCTATCTATCTGTCTGTTTGTCTATCTATCTATCTATCTATCTATCTATCTGTCTGTCTGTCTATCTATCATGTCTGTCTGTCTATCTATCTATCTATGTCTGTCTGTCTATCTATCTATTTATCTATCATGTCTGTCTGTCTATCATCTGTCTATCATGTCTGTCTGTCTATCTATCTATCTGTCTGTCTATCTATCTATCATCTATCATGTCTGTCTGTCTATCTATCTATCTATCTATCTATCTATCTATCTGTCTGTCTGTCTGTCTGTCTGTCTGTCTGTCTATCTATCATCTGTCTGTCTATCATGTCTGTCTGTCTATCTATCTATCTGTCTGTCTGTCTGTCTATCTATCTATCTATCTATCTATCTATCTATCTATCTATCTATCTATAAATAACACATATAAAATCTCCAGTTATCAAGCAACATTTCTCTAGGGAGAGGAGACTGAACTTAGCTGCTCTAGGCTGGCTCTGTGATATACTTCACCATTGTTCAGCCCCAATTTGATGCTCTGGAGTAGCCCAGAACCCAACTTCTTGAGGAAGACAGACATACCACCCAACCTCTTCACTGCTCCTCCCAGCAGGTCAGCAGCTACAGCCACTCACAATGGAGAGCAGCTTGAAGGAACATTAGAGCATGCAGCTAAGCTGCTGTCCCTATATTGTCCCTATATATTACCTTTCCATACACTGCCCGGAAAATATTACTGAAGACCAGCCGACTCGATGTCTGGATCCCCATATTATTAGTCAGGGCTGACTCTTCCTCAACACTCTCTAAGCCAACTATGTGCAAAGTTGCTAGAGCTTATCTCTGCCGCTTGGCTGTAGTTGGGTATCCTTGCCTCTGCACCATTGCTAACAGGTATATCACCTTTTGGTGATTGCCTCATGAAGCAGATGAAATGACATATGTGGCATAGTGGAGGAAAATCAGACTATCCAATTGGGTGGGAACACCTTACTCCTTCCTCACCCACCCTAAACCAACAGTATATGAAAATCCAGATCTCCAAATCAGAAAATTAGGGAACAATGACTCAATTTATACCAGGATTCTTTACTATAACAGGATTCCTTGAAGTTGCCAGCTACTCCTTTGCATTTAAACTATAATTTGATTTTTTAAAAATCAGATTTAAGCAGAGGACAGCTGATTTCAATTTCTCATGGAAAACCTCCCCCTGGGCCATAGCTGGGAGGGGCAAGTCTGGGCAGAGCAGGCCGGAGCAGGGTACAGCCCTGAAAAAACATAATTAGGGAGATAAGATCCGGTAAGCTGGATGGGGCAGAAAGAGCCTTGGCCTAGGAGCTGGAGCAAGGTTTGCCCGTGAGTTTGCTCTGTGACCCTGTAAGGGAGGCAGGGCAGGGATCTGCTCTCTTCTCTTCCAAGGGAGGAAATTGGGTCTTGCTCACTCAGTCAATGAGTGATGTAGCTGGGGTTGAAAGCTTTACCTCGGCACTCCCTCACAGGCCAATGCTCATTTCACCGGAGCCTTCTGCTCCCTGAGGCACCAGTGCCCCCACTCCCACCCCCAGGGGTTGCCCAGTCCAGGCACCTACCTTGTAGGTAGTAGGCAGGGTGGCCTTCTTCTTGCAGCTTCTGGAGCAAGGTGGCTAGCACTGACTGGGCTGCCTCAGTTTCCTCCTCCTCAACACATCGGCCTTCATCATAGAGGAGGATGGGCAGAGGGGGCAGCGGTTGCTGCTGTGGCTGCAGCTGCCGGTGCTGCTGCAGCGGGCTGGGGAGTAGCGAGCACACAGACAAGTTCCCCTTCCTCAGCCTCCGAAGCAGCAGGGCTGGGAGGGCTACACTAAGAGCCCCCTGGACGTGGCCTGACTCATAGAGTTCCCTGCTCCGGCAGTCCAGAAGGAGCAGCTGAGGCTGGGGAGCAGCTAGTTCTCTGCTCAGCCACAGGGGAGACCTTCCAAGCCCCTCCATGAGGAAAGATGAATACTGAGCTCCCCCTGATCTTTCTAGAGGGGCCAAGGATGGATATGTACATGACCCAGGGGGCAGGGCCGGTTCTTTTTCTTTCTCCTCAGGCTCTCTTTCTGTCTGTCTGTCTGTCTGTCTGTCTCTCTCAAGCAACGAAGAGATGGGAAGGATGAGGACTAGGGGCCATCTTTACTTCTCTCTCAGCCCCCTCTCAAAACAGCCCAAGGAGTCAGTCAGAGAGCATGGCTAGGCTGAAGGTGTTGTGTAGGTATGTGTGCGGGAGTGGGGTGGAGGGTAGGTAGGAAGTGGGAAGAGATAGTGATGGTATTGAAGACAACTTTTTTTGTTATTTTAAAAAGAGACAGAGACAAAGAGAAAAAATGAAGAAAGCCACACTCTGTCCAGAACACAGCTGCCAATGGGCAAATGGAAACCTCCTCCCTCAGGAAGCCCGGAGGGATTTCCCTTCCTGGCTCACCTGGCTATGGTCACACTTCCCTTTCCCACAGAGCAGCTTTAGGAATGAATTTGGTAGCCCCAGGAATATTTAAAAAGCACCACTCCCTCCAAGCTCCAATCCCAATCTTCACTTCTGACACCTCCTAGGTCCTTAATCTCCCACCTCTATTCCAGGTGGTCACAGCAGCCTGACTCTTCCTGCTCCAACAATTGGAGGGAAAAGGTTGCCACCCTGAATCACCAGGTCAATTCTCCAGTGGTATGAGGGAGATACCAGCTTACAGGGACTCCTTCACTGAGATCCTGGGGTGGGGAACTATCCAAGAACCTTCTTTCCAGTCCCTTTCCTGACTCAAAGTTCTCTGTAAGGCAAAGAATCAATTGGGGGGTGGGGCAGGGAGGAAGGCTAATTCTCCAGGTCAAGAGAGTGGGCCCAGCAGCCCCTGATCCCGCCGGGGTACTGTGCAGAGGGAAGAGGAGAGACTGTCTTCTCTTAAGGGGAGGGAATGTGACTCTCTAACCACAGGGTCTTCAATAAATTTAATTGGACAATTCAGTGTTTTCAGGGGGCTGAGGTCTCTTCAGCTGTTTGGTCAGGTTCTCTTCCAGAGTACAGAAGAAGAGTAAAACTCAGAGGAAACTGAGTCCAAGGCCAATCTGGGCCTCTCGAAAGGGGAAGATGTCCTGAGAATTTGGAGGGGTGTTCTGGATCTCTGGGAGGTTAGGAGTTGAGGTGGTGGTGGGGGGATTGTCCTTCCAGATGTGCTACAGTTGGAATTGAAGGGAGGGAGAGACACAAAACACCCAGAGGCAGGAGGATGTGAGGTGGCCAAGGGGCAGGGTTTCCTTCTTCCCCCTAGCCTATGTGCTGGGGGTATTGTTTTTCGAGGTGAATGGGGAAGCTGGGGGGCCCAGCCGGCTGCCTGGGTATCCAAAACCGCTGGCAAATCGAGGACACAATCCGAGGGGAGAGGTGGCCAGTGGCTGGGCTCTCAGAACTCTGCTAGGCATTCGGTGGGCTGCATGGCTTCTCTCAGAAAGGCCACCCCGATGAAGTAAGATCCTCTAGTCGCCTCCAACGTAGCAACTGGGGTGGGAGGCTGAGGGCAGCAATCTTAACTTGACCTGGTGCTGAGACCTGTAGATTGGAGAAAACAAGTCAGGAGCTGAGGTCAGCTCCTCAATGAGAAAAGCAGTAGGTGAGCCTGGGGGCAGAGCCTGAGTCTCCGGAATTTCCCAGTTGGCTGGGAAAGGGGGATGGGGAGGAGAAAAAGAGGAAGGATCGTTGGCCTATGTATTCATGCATGTGTAAGTTTGTATGTGCTTGCATGTGTCTCTGAAATGTAGGGATATAGGCATATGTATACATATGTACACGTGTGTATGTGCATATGTCTATATGTCCCTCTTGGAGTATGGGCATGTATATATATATATATATATATATATATATGTTGGTCTGTGCATACATGTGTATTTGTCTCGGGATACCTCCTTCTGTGTCTTTATGTTTGCGTGTATGTGTGTGTGTGAGCACATGTGTGTATGAGTGTATGTGAGTGTGTGTGTATGAATGTGTGTGTGTGTGTGTATGGGCCTCTGTTTCCTGGCACCCTGCCATCCAACTTCCATCCTGGAAACTATTTCCTTTGGACACTGGGGTAATTTTCAGGGGGTGGGTGGGGGGATGGGTAAGGACAGAGGAAGGGAGTCAACCTGTAGAAAGGGGTGTTGAACTGGAGAGTGAGGAAGGAAGAGGTGGCCAGCCAAAGGCTGAGGCTTCCATGAAGGCAAGGGCTGGGAAGATTTCCCCACAAGCAGGGCTGTGTGCCGGCGAGCACCTCCAGCACCCCCCTAGCATGAAAGTCCCCTCGTCTCAGTCACCTGATAATGGATAACTTTGGTTTGTCCTGTGTAAATGTGTGTGAGAGAGAGACAGACAGACACAGAGCCAGAAAGGGAAGGGGAGAGAGACAGAGAAAAAGAGACAGAGAGAGACAAAGAGAGACAGAGAGAAACCCTGAGGCATGTTTTACCCTCCTCCCTCAGTTCCAGTCTCCCCCCAGGCACTTCCCCAGACACCCCTCCGCCTTGTTCCCCAGCATGGCTTTCCTCTCATAAGCCAATAATATGTGAAGCAATCGCCTGCCAGGTGCATCTGAGTCTGGTGCATTGGAACGGACCCTGGCTTGGGGAGTCAAGAGCCCAAGGGCCTTCCTTGCCTGCATGCACCTTACTCCCTACCTCAGCAGATCCAGATCTAGAATGTTGAACCTGGAAGAAACCTTCCCCCTCTATATTTTATAGATGGGGAAACTGAGTCTCAGAGAGAGGAAGGGACTTCCACGAGGGCCCTTAGTGAGTTTGTGGAGATGTGACACCAGAACATAGACAGTAAGAGCTAGAAGGGGCCTTAGAGATCATTCAATACACCCTCCTCATTTTCTTCAGAGGGGGAAGCTGAGGCCCAGAGATGGGAAAGGCCGGCTGCTTCCCTTACCCTTAACAATGAATGTATCTGAGGAGGGTACCTTATGGGGGTGTTGAAGGGGGGGCGCCGGTGCTGGGGAGAGTGCATCTCTGTATTGAGTGGATGCGTTAATGTTGGAGGGGTGTGTGTCGGGGGTGTAAGTGCTGGAAGGCTGTTTGGAAGATTGTGAGGGTGAATGTGTGTATTGTGGGGGTGTGGGGGGATAGAAGGTTGCGTTCTGGTGGTGCTCTGCATTAGGAGGATTGTGGGCTGTGAGCAGAGGGGTACAGAGAGGAGTGTATGTGGGTTTGAGCGTTGGGTGCCTGGGCTACGTGTGTGTGTGTGTGTGTGTGTGTGTGTGTGTGTGTGTGTGTGTGTACTTTTGTTGGCGATTTGTGTGTTGGGGTGGGATGTGCTGGAAGATGCTGGGGGGTAGTGGTGTTGGGTTTGTGTTTGAGTGTGACAGGCTGGGGGTGTGTTTAGGGGTGTGTGCTGAGGGTGTGCGTTGGTGTGTGTGTGCGCGGTGCATGCATATGTGTGATGTCGGGGTGTGCATACTGTGTACGTTGGGGGGGTGTTGGGATATGTCGGGGTGTGGGTGTTGGGGATGAGGCTCCCGCGAGTGGCGGTTATGCAAGCAGCTCCCCATGCCTCCCGCAGCCCAGCCGCCGCCGCCGCCGCCGCCGCCACCGCCGCCGCCTCCCAGCCCCGCCCGCTCTCCTCTGGGCTCCCAGCGCCCCCAGTCCTGGCATGTGCGGGGCGGGGGGGGGGGCGCCCGGCTGGCCACCACTGCCCTCAGTCCCACGGCCCAGGTCCGGGGCCGTTGGGGAAGGGGCGCCTCTGCGGAGAGGGACGAAGGGGAGGGGGAGGGGGAGGGAGGGGCTGGTCCGGCGCGCGCTCACCTTAGTGCATTAGTGCAGAGCCGCGCTCCGCCGCCGCCGCCGCCGCCGCCGCAGCCGGGGGGAAGTTTCCGAAGCCGGGGGGCCGGGGGGTCGGCGCGGTGGTGCCACGCTCCACCACCGCCAACGCCGCCGCTGGCACCGGGGCCGCCGCCGCCGCCGCTGACACCCGGGCCGCCTCCGCCGCTGGCACCGGGGTCGCCGCCGCCGCCGCCGCCTCTGGCACCGGGGCCGCCACTGCGGGCAGGAGCGGAGCTCCGGAGCTCTGGGCAGCGAGCGGCCTCGCGCAGAGCCGAGAGAGAGCAGGCGGGGGCAACTGGGCGAGCAGCCCGCCGCCGCCGCCGCCGCCGCCGCCGCCGCCTCCCCCGGCTCGGGCTCGGGCTCGGGCTCGGGCTCCGGCTCGGGCTCCTCCTCCGCACCTCGGGGAGCAGCGACCCGCACCACCGCCACGGGCACACGGCACACGGGCACCCGGGCACACGGGCGGCGAGTCTCCGCTCCTGCTCTCTCGCGCTTCTCCCGGCTCTCTGCTCTGGCGCTCACCCGAACCGTCTCCCGTTCCTCTCGCTGTCTAGCTCCGTTCTGTCCCTCTCTTTCCCCTTAGTCCCCCCCCCTACCCCCGTCTCCCCCTCTGTCTCCCTTTTCTTCTTCCCCAGTCTCTATCTCCCTTTTCACTCTCTCTTTCTGTCTCTTTCTATTTGGTCTCTCCCATCTCTGACTTCCTCTCTGTCCGTGTGCCCTTCTCCCTATCTCTCACTCTTCCCTCTGTCTCTGTGTCCCCTCTCTCTCCCTCTCGGCTCTCTCTGCTCTCTCTCTCCCCGTTTCGCTCTCTGCGCTCTCTCTCTCTCTCTCTCTCTCTCTCTCTCTCTCTCTCTCTCTCTCTCTCTCTCTCTCTCTCTCCTCTCTCTCTCTCTTCTCTCCCTCTCTCTCTCTCTCTCTCTCTCTCTCTCTCCTCTCTCTCTCTCTCTCTCTCTCTCTCTCCTCTCTCTCCTCTCCCTCCCTCCCTCTCTCTCCTCTCTCTCTCCCTCCTCTCTCTCAACGCTCCTCTCTATCCCCCCCCTCCCGCCACTTGCCACTGCCACCGCCCCCTCTCTAGAGGGGGGTGGGGGGGACCTGAGCGAACAGTTTGAATTCTGTGGAGGCTTTTAGCCTTCTTCCAGTCATATCCCCCACCCCAGCTCCACGTGGGCACTGCATCCAGGACCCGGGCCATGCCTCAGAGACCTTCTGAGTCTCTGGGCTCTGCTGAGGGGCAGCCTGGTCCCCAATGTGGGAGAGGGCTACATCCCACCCCCGTGGCCCTAGGGCTAAAGCGTGTGAACGTGTAGGGTGGGGGGATAGTTAGTGTGTTTTCCAGTCCCCCCTGTGTGATCACTGAATGTTGAGAATGCGCCATCCCTATTTCCTCTTCCCTCCCCTCCTAGGGACGGAGGGGATATGAAGTCGGGAGACTGCTTGGGTTTAGGGCTCAGTCTGAGGCCAGAGTTCGGATTTAGTCTGGGACTGTGGTTCGGCCTCGCTCTGGGACTAGGGAACAGAGTCGAGCTGACCGGCCCCCACAGGGCTCAGAAGTGACCTTGGTCTCATTAGTCCTGCTCTTACAAGGAAGCCATGCAGTCACGGCCCCTCCTCCTAATGCCTTCCATCTGCACAGCCCACTCAGGGCTAAGCCGGGACCCCAAACCAGGGCGTCCAGTCAGCCGAGATAAGGCAGAACTAACGCCTTCAGCCAGTCCTCCTCCCTTGGGCCCTGCCTCGGGGAGCTCCTAGCCTGGGCTTCGGGAGGGTAGGGGAGGCAGTCAGTACAAGCCTCTTCCCGAGGCCAGCCTGGTCCCAGCCTTAGAGGCCAGAAGAAGGGAGACCTCGGGCTTGGGAAAGCCCCGCGGACTCATTGATCAGAGCTGGAACAGAGCCGCAAGGGCAATCTAGCATTCCAGCCCCTTCATGTAACTGGTGAAGAGCCTGGAGTCTCCCCCAATAAGTGATGTGCCCAAGATTTCCACAGCTAGCAATGAGCCAAGCCAGCATTGGAACCTGGATCCCCTTCCTCCCAGCCCGGCATGATTTCAGCCCCAGCAGACTGCCTAGATGAGAAGATGCTTTCGCAGTTCAGCATCAAAGCTGACCCCAGATCTGGGGCCTCGCTGTTGCTAGGACAGGATGAGTGAGGGAAGGGGAGAAGGTGACCAGCAGTAGGCTTTTTTCTGTGACTAATCCCCCTGAGTCATCATCGTTCAGACATGCACAAGTGTAGAGAGGCAATTTCCCAGCTACTGTCCCAGGTCCCAAGGGCCTCCTCTGTCATTTGCTACTAAGGCTGGGCTTTCATATACACGTAGCCCCCTACGCAGTAGAATTTGGAGGGGGAGGGGGAGGAGGACCCTGTCTGTCATCAATGTGTTGGACAATATACCAGACTGGGTGTTAGGAAAGCTCTGTTTCAAGCCTGGATCTGCTTTTAGTACAATGTGTGGCTTTTGGTAAGGAAGTCAGGGACTCAGTTTCTCTATCTATAAAATTGGGTTATGTGTTATTTGGGCCCAGAAAGCAGTGACAGCTTGTCTACCCTTTCTGGGCCCTGCTGAGAACATGTCCCCCACCCCCACCCCCAGGCTCAGTCCTACTTCCTGACTTTACCCTTTCTTGTGCATCCCCCCTCCCTTCTGCCTGTCTGTTCTAAGCCTTCTTGTGCTTCTAGGCCCAGAGCGCAAAGCCCATCTCCTCTCTGAGTTTTCCCTGCTTGTCCCCATGCCAAGGGCACTCTCCCCCCTCTCTCCTCTACTTCAGGCCTCACTGTCTGCTCCCATAGTACATTCTGCCTAGCACTAGCCCCTTATGAGTACCTTTTTAAAATTGGTTCTGTTTTGGGGTTTGGTTTTTTTTTTTTTGAAGCTTGCCTCTCTAGCTAGACTGGGTGCATTCTGAAGACTTCTCCCTTCTACACTGCCTCTGAGGCCACAGCCAGATACTCAATGCAGATGACTCGGTTGGAATGGAATTGCCCGGCATTGCATTGGCAGAGATGGGACTTGGTGGAAGAGTTAGGTGCCCAGTTCTGCACCCCCCCATCTCCAGCCAGTAATGAAGTTCCCTGGCTGGTGGCTGGTGACTCAGGGCTGAGGAAAGGGGGGAGGAGAAAAGTGTGTGTGTGTGTATGTGTGTGTGTGTGTGTGTGTGTGGTGTGTGATGGGGGGGGAAGGTAAACTTCCCTGAGCTGCTTTTCATTAAATAATGCAAGCCCTCCCCCACCACACTGTGCCAATCCACCTCCCATCTCTTCAGTCTCCCTGGTAACACGAGGGACCACTGTCACAGAAAACACACACACTTGCTTGAACACACACACACACACACACACACACACACACACACACACACACACACCTCAAACCACCATGAAGGCGTCCAGTCCAAACGCACGGTGGGATCCTTAAAGGAACCAGGCCTGCCCAACATCCTCTACTCTTTCCCCCACTTGTTCTCCTAATGGGTTTTTCTTGGAAGGCAGGTCTTGGCCTGGGACAGGCTGGGGTGTTAGAACATGCAATGAGACGGGAGGTGCTTTGCAAAGGTGATATGGACTGCCCTGATGCCTGGGAATGGAATAGTCTGGGGAGTTTTTCTTTTTCTCTGTCTTGTTTTCGTTTTTTTCTGACTGAAATGAATTTGAGCTCATTTCATTAGACCCTTGCAGGCCCTTTTGGATAAGCCCATTACAATAGCCTACCCAGGAACCTCTGGGTAGTATGATTGAATGAAAGTACCATTTGGTTCTTAGTCACAAGGAATCACCCATGTGCTCACATTATGTGGACTGGAGGAGTTCAGAAAAGCTTTATTCTGGGTTGGGGGTACAGTCAAGTTCACTGGCCTTTGGGGGGTGAAGGTGGGAGGTGGGGAATTAGCCTTGAGATGCTTTCCTCATATGCCCTGCTGGCTGACCAACTCCAATGGTGGTGGAATCAGATCTGTCCCTACGCAGACGTTTCCCTTTTTCCTACCTTGGCCCCCTAGGAAGGAAAGGGAAAGGCAGGAGGTGGGGGCCCATAATTGGGCAGAATTCTCTTGCCTCTCCCCTGGGGCTAGAACATTATTCCAGGATCTCTGCTGGGACAGGGGAGAGTCCATACATTTCTACATTCCTGAAATTACAAGGATCCACCCTCTAGAAGGCAGGAGGCTGAAGGCCCAGTAGGCAGCCTCTGTGAATTTGTGATTGGAGAGGCCCTGGGAAGGCCTCTCCCTGGCCCAACGCTGTCTCACTTTCAGTCTCATTTCCTAAAAGTGCCCCCATTTGAGATCAATTTCTTTGGCTTAAGACTCTGATCCCTGCTTCCCAGGAAAGGGTAATTCACCGAGCTCTCCTTGGCTATTAATACCTTAGTGGGATGAGTGTATAAATCACAGGACAGCTAGCTGAAAGAGTATAGGGCCTAGGAGGACAAGTGTAGTTGGGGGTGGGGGTAGGGTCTGGGTCATGAGGCTCTGAGTGAGGAGCTTTGAGGAGAGGGCACCTGGAAAGAGGACATGGGGTGGGGGAGAATCAACACGGAATTGAAAATCAGATTCATAGAACATTAGGGCTGAAAAATGCCTTAGAGCTAATCAAGTCACAGAATCACAAAATGTTCCAGCTGGAAGGGAACTCCAAGATCATCTAGTGCAAACATCTTATTTTACAGATTGGGAAACTGAGGTCCAGAGAGGGGCATTGAAGCTCTGGGACTAGACTCCAGGTCTCCTGACTCCCAGTACAGTGCTTCTTCTACTAGGAGCCTATGCTCCTAGGTCTCAGGCTGAAGGACCCTCATTTCACAGAAGGGGAAACTGAGTCTCAGAGAAGTGACATGGTCACCCAGGTAGTAAGTGGCAGAGCCAGGATTTGAGCTATGGCCCTCTTACTACAAATCCTCCTCTTCACCTACAACTAGAATTTTCCCCAGGGGCATTGATAGGGGCACGGGGAAAAACCCTGGCTAAATGCCCCAGTGGGATGGTAGCGGTCCCTCTGGTCTAAGCATTTTTCCCAGCCAAAGTGTGAGTCTTTTTTTTTTCTTAAAAGCATTTCATATGCAGCCAAATACCCTACTGTCACCAACCTTCTGCCAACTTCTGAAGCTTAAAACGTCAAGCC